GTGTGTGTGTGTGTGTGTGTGTGTGTGTGTGTGTGTTACAGATTAGGAGGAAGTAGAAAGAGATGGGGTGTGTGGAGGATTTGAGTTGGAACATGGCACGGTAGATCTCATTATCCCATCCATTCTACATCCTGACTGGCTGATAGCTTATTTATCTTATGTTACTAAGACATGACACGGCCATGTGACTTCATCATAATTGTTGCTATTTTCAAAATCATTGTCCAATGATTAATTTTATTTTTTTGTTTGGATTTGTTGACATGGATAGTGGGGTAACCTTGCATCTCCACGTTGGTGCCTCTTTACTTGCTTGGAGATCATTGAAGACTAAGACACATTTTAGATTATATGCATTAGGAGTGCCAAGCTTTGAGCAGGGTTTCTAAAGCCAAATAGCAACAGCCCTGGCGAGCACTTTCCACAAGCATCTGACTACAAGGCTAAACATACTAAAAACATAGTGTCCACACAGTGTGGGCATGAGGACTTGAAGCCTTTCCACTGAGATGAAGAACTCAGTGGCGTAGGTCGGGGAAGGAGGAATGTCTGAGCAAGCCAATGAGATCCCATCAATGCCTTTTCAAAGTAAGACAAGTCTTACTTCTAGCGCATGCAATCCCATCTCTGGCCCTTTAGTTTTAATTGTGATGATACTCCTCTCAATGTAGGATTTTTATTAACTTTTTTCAACCAGCTTTATTCCTTGAGTATTTTTGGTCTGCACACCAATTATTCTTCTCCTTCATGCTGAGTAGTAGAAAGAATCTCATCACACCGTGCCACAGCCGATTCTGTCGAGCCGAGGATTAAACAGATGTGCAAACGGTGCAGAACCCCAGGTCTGTGCTGTAAAAACTGATCAATCCCACCCCTGCCCATCCTACCCCCCTCTCTGTCACTTCTTTTAGCGCTTTCTGTTAACAAAAGGAGAAAATCATTGCTCAGCAAACGACTTAGAAATCTTTTAGTTGTATCCCTGTTTTCCTGTTCGGTGAGTTCGTAGTAAGCTATGAAATCAAGTATTTTTGTTATTGAGTGATGTTATTAAAAGTAACCATGGGTGACATTTTAAAAAGGGAAAACGAATAAATGCCTGCTGGTTGCCTCTGTGCATGACCTCTTAACCAGGGAGATCATATTTTTTTTGTTTCCCCCCCCCCTCGCCAAATGCTGCTTGATGTCATTAAATTCCTCATTAAATAAAAGTTTCTCGTTTAATCCCACCTGCTGTGTACAGACGCACCGTGTTGGGGTTTTCCTTGTCAAGCTTAATGAAATCTTACTAATTAAGCAATACACTCTGATAATTTCCCTTTGAGATGAACTTTGCTTTTTCCTCATGCTTCTGAGTTATTTTGTAATGGCATTAACAGTATTACTGTGCTCTCTTCACATATTTTAGGAAAGCTTGTCTTTTACTTAAAAAAATTGAAAGATTGTGCCTTTTATTTTCTTATGCCATTTACATGTGTTAATATTTCCCATGGTTAACACCTGTGCTGGTAAAGACCCTTTATGTACATAACAAGTAAATAAAAATGTTTACTTCTTTAAGTTTGCCCTCTGGTTCTGTCATCGTGTTAACAGATGGTTGGGTGTGACGCGTGTTGGCTGCGGCTCGACATTAACAGTTGTGTATGTAGAGCGCAGGACAGTTGCGCTTTTTTTTTTTTTTTAACAGTTCCAGTTTCGATTCTCCCCGTGCCCAGGAGAAAGGAAGCAATTAATGAATTTTAATGAAGTGCTAATAAAAGACAGTCAGCTGACCCGCAGATGGGGGAATGGAAAACTTTTCAAGGGCAATGTTTCTGGTGGTCATGCTCTGTGTTTGTTCCGCACTTTGCAAACCAGGTACTGAGCGGTATAAATCAGCAGGTCCACCAATATTTCTACTTTGTATGTGCTATTATGACTTCTGTAACAAGGTCTCTGCCAACAGTGTTGTGAGAAATGAGTGCCCTGCTGTCTCTGATGACCCTTTCTGCTGCTGGGGGACAGTACTGCTGCTGATGCGCTTGGCTAAATGCACTAAAATGATTCCTGCCACTGACTAGGACAGGTTAATGGGACTTTAATGATGCTAATAACTTAGCTTGAGCCTACAGACGGTTGCTCGTGTTAGTTTTGTTTATGCAAATCATTACTGCTCTTAACATAGTATCAGGTTTATTTATTTCTTTTTAATCTGGTGAATTATGAACAAAACCCAGACATTTTGGCACGCTAATATTTAATCCATCGTGACGCATATTCAGAAAAGTGGATATTGTTGCAGTGACCTATACACAGATACATTAACCAGCTCTCATCTTGCATGGAAAGTCCACACCCTGAAACGAATGCTGATGTCCAAGGCACACCAACGAATGTATGTACAAGTATTGAGTGCTACCCTTGTACACAGACAGCAGCGGTCTTCAAGTTGGTGAAACTTACATGTTGTCCATAAAACACTAGAGGTTGAACTGTCCTGTTTGCAGAGTGATGCTTTGTAGCCTTGATTTTTATTTTTATTTATTTTTTTTGCATTTTGACCATTGCGTCATATGACTCGAGGGGGAATATGGATGCAAGCAGCATTGCGCACTAGTTTTTACTAAAAGCTGTTATTGGTAGAGAAAATCTGAGGCGTACTCCTGACCAAATTTTAAATGGGGAGGCTTGAGTGGATAAATATTTGCGAATTTTAATTTTGTGTTGTACCTAGTATTGTCAAGTGATCTAGACTTGCTATGACAGAAACCATCAAAAGCAGCATTTCTTTGACACTTCGTGGATATTAATGAAAGCGTACGGGCAAATATGTATCCATATAAGGCAGTTTGAATTTCCACATTGATTCTCTTTGTCCTTTTTCTCTGGATCCCTTGTACCTCATGCGTGGGTTAAGTTGCCATTAAAGCCAATCAATGTATTCCTCTGCACTGTGTAAGGCACAGGCCGCAGCGAGAACGACCATAATGAATCAAACCTGACTGATGCTGACCTCTCTTCGGGGCAGTGTGCGTTAGTGAGGGTTTAAATAGATGTGCAGCAGGGTCGATAAAGGCCTTCCTACAGTCCATTATGGCCACCGCCCTCAAGCTAGCTGTGATGGCAGTTATTGTGCTGTAGAGCACTTGGCCCGCAGAAGTGAACGTACAGTAATTTTTCCTTTTTTAATTCTAATTTGAATTCATCTAAAATAGCTGACCAAATACACAACATTAATCTTCATAAGGTATAGTAATGAATGTGGTTTGTTTGCCCTCTGGACACTCAGCAGAAGCAGTAACTGACTTTATGGCACGTCAACTCTTTCCAAACACCATAAACAAAAAACCAAAGGGCACAAGCATTTTTCCCTTTAACCTTGTGGCGTTTTAAACCCCAATCTGATCCTCACATGTGATTAGAATGATGACCACTGATGATTATGAAGTATGACCTGAAACCGGTGACTGAGAAAGTCACTCGGATCTTGTCACTTCCTTGCAAGTGATCCAAAGGTAATTTTTCTTCAGTGCAATCTGAGATGTTCGCAACTACAGGAGCAGAGTCTGCTTTGCAATAACTTATCAGATATGGATGTTATGTACATTTTTGGTGGCAGCATAAATGGTACCAAATCAAAAAAAGATGATAGAATTCAGTAAGATGACCCGTTAAACATGAATTAATGGTGTCAGAAATCAGTCACACTTACACAAGTGTATTTCCACCGCTTTAAAAAGTGCATGTTAAAATTCCAGGTTAGTTTCTCAGAAGCTAGAGTTGCCCAACTTAAAATTAAAAGGACTACAAGTTATGTTTGGCAAAAAATGTTCCATAAGTCAAAAACACAATAAGGAGTTTGCCTGGGTTAAATTAAATTAACTCCCAACTAAAAGTAAGTCACAGCTAGCCCTTCAAGTACACACTGCTCCAGTTTTGGTACCATTTATGTCTGTGCGTTTGTTTAAAGGAAGAAGGGAAAAAAAGGAGTTCAAATCTACAACACAAAAAGATGCAAGTCTGCGCGCATGTTCTAGAAAACTACTTGCTGCAGTGTCTGCTCCCTAAAGCTTTATGAATGTCCCAGATATGGCTTTGCCCTGTCATTCGTAAAACATTTACAGGACAGACGCTCCTGCCTTCTGCTAGGGAAGCATGCCAGGCTATGATCGCATTTCCACACTAGTAGTCTGTCATTTCTTTATCGAGTCAGACACTACGCCAGGGCAGTCTATCATAGCTCCGTTCTTCTTGAATGGTGTCTGACATGTTGTTGCACATGGTGTTAATTGGACTCATTGAAGTGTGAGGTAGAGCGGTCTGTAGGTGTGTTATAGAACAGAATGGATCGTTTCACTTTTACATTCATTCTCACATTTATTTCTCAGCTGAGAGAGAAAAAACAAAACAAAAACACGATATACATGTTAACTTTAAAAAAAAAAACAAAAAAAAACAAAACTAAAAACTTGAGCTTAGACAAATCTCAAGTTAGACTGACCAAAAAAAATATATATATAAAATACAAAATAACACAAAAAGCTAAAACCTCAAGCTAAACAGATTTTTTTTTTCGTCCATTAAAACAGACTATTTTAAGTTGCTGCTGTATATAATCCAAGCTAATGGAAATAAAACAAGTGGAAGGTCAGTTATTCCTCCATGTCTATCACAATCCTTTAGTTCTTTCGTATAGTCATCATCCAACAATTTCACTACCTTAAAAAAAAAGATCAATCTTTACCAAGTTGTGTATGACAGGACAGGGCTCTGGCTCCAGTCCACTGTGGTGTTATACTGGTGGAAGTAGCCATGTTGTTGGATGCAAGGTTCAACTGCAGAACGTGAATTAGGAGGGGGGTGGAGGATGATCTGCGCACCGTCTGGATCTCTGGAAGGGTATGGGAGCATACCA